AAGCATCCAACACTGCAGTGAGCAGGTAGCACAAAAGACAGAGACAAACAAAGACCCCTTCCCAGAGCAGTGTGCTTGTGTTTCCCATAGTTTACCTCAGACAGTCGGGCCATCTTAACTGCAGCCATAAGATTTTCAAATTCTTTCAAGATATGATTCTATGTTGAGGTAATAAAGAGAGAGAAGCCATAAAGACATTAAATTAAAGCATCTATTCCAACACAGATATTGGTAGCCAGAACAAGGAATGTTCTGGGGAGAACACAGCTTGCAAAAAAAAAAAAAAAAAAAAAGAATAAGCAAATGAATGGTGACTGTTTTCATATGACAAGAATTTGGACAATCAGCAGCAGATCAGTCCTCCCAAGGCTGAGATGCTAGTGCTGCATGCCTTGCCTACCACACATCCCCATGCCAGGCCCACTGCTAGTGCCATACCAGGAAGGAGAGCCTATGCCGCAGCACAGCGTTCTGGAAGTGGCACTGCTCCACCTCCTTCTGTAGGATGGTCTTCTCCTGGGTGAGCCGCTGGGCATTGGCTTTTTCTGCATTGAGGGCCAGAGCCAACGCTTTATTGTTGTTTTTCAGGGAGACTTTAATAGTAGAAGAGTTGTCTGTAAGAGACAGATATCACCCAAAATCAGCATCCAAGGTTTAATCCATGCCTCTTCTCTCATCATACTTCTCCCTCTTCCCAGAATAGGTTTCCTTGGATTTAGATTTCTGCAACTCAGTAGCCCCCACACAAAGCCAGCAGGATAATTCCTTCCAGCAATAGAAGTCTCCAGAGAATGGTAGGAACAAAATTTCCTCAATAATCCACAACACTTCAGACACTCTCTTCATTCTCAGTGGGTCATGCTCAGGTAGCAAGCTACTGCTTCAAGTGTTCATGAATGACAGCATGGTTCAGGTGCTGAGTTTGAAAAAATACGCTTCTGCCTTTGAACAAGTCACCTGAGTCCTCATCTCCATCCAAAAAGTGGGAGAAAAACCTATTTTCCTCTAGTTGTCCTTGAGCAGATTTAGAGCCATGTTTTCCAATTTCAAAACAATTAAATAAGAGTAATAGAAATACCTAATTTTTTCAAGGTAGCCCAAATTTTCTCATGTGCTATCTTTGCATTATTTCCCCCATAAAAACAAGTCACAGCTGGGCTAGCTTCTGCACAGGATTACATACACACTAAAATACTTTCCACACTTTTTTTGCTATTGGGACTGCGAGGACTCAGTTTCCCAAACACAGATGTCTGATGTCATCTGAGATGCTGCTGAGCAGCCTTTGACGCCCCAAGCTAATGCACCAAAGGTTCTATGTTAAACCTGTCAGTAACAGATACTTCAGAAACCCTCGGGCACCTTGAGTGGCACTTAACACTCATTTGCAGGGCACTGAATTCACTAGAACCCCCCGGGCAGAGAAGCTGCCTAGACTCTGGGTAAGGGACTGCCGCCCACCGCCACGCCCAAAAGCACAATTCCAAGCTGATGTAGCTGCAGCCCCTGCACGCACTGCAACGCAAAATACACTCACTAATGATTTTCGTTTTGATTTTGGATACAAGCGAGGCATTCAACTTCGCAGTCCTCAAGGCACCCTTTTTCTTCTCCCGCATCCTCTCTCTTACGTCGCTCAGGCTGAAGAAGGACGTGTCGGTGGCCTCCCGGGATGCCATCGCTGTAGAGAGCGACACGGAGCAGGCTTAGCACCCGCATTCCTCGCCAGCAAGTCCGAGCAGCGGCCTCGCGGCCCCTCGCGGCCCCAACAGCTCGGGGCACAGCCCCGGCACGGCCCCGCTGCCCCACACACGGATCGCCGGCTCACCTGCGGACGGGGCGGCCGCCTCAGGCCGCGGACGGGACAGAGGGAAGGGCGCACGGAAGAGAAAGTCCTACCCGCCAAGCGACTTTTGAATGCGAGTGGGCCGGCGAGCAGCTCGCCCCTCGCTCCGCCCCGCGGGATGGCGGTGGGAGCGGCCTCCTCTCCGCGCTCCTCCCGGGCTGGGCCGGCCGGGGCAGCTCCGCCCGCCCTCACGGCCAAGGCGGACCCCGCGGTGCACCTTCCCGGCCGCCGCCGCCCCGCTGCTCGCCGGGCTGCAAGCGCCGAACTGTGAGGCTCTGCTGCCGACACCTCCCCGGCCCCACGGAGCTACCCCGCTCCTGGAATGACTCCGAAAAGCCCCAGGGTCGTTCTGAAAGGCGAATCTCACCCAAAAATTTGGGTTGGTTCGTGCACAGAGGTTAGTATTTGGCTTGCAGCTTTCACCTGAAAGTCATGTTTTACTGTCTATTAAAATGTTCTTTTTTTTCTTATATAATTTTCACTTCAGCCCAAGTTAATGCATTTACACCCTTGAATTTGCCCTCAAGAAGTTGACATTATATGGACTGGTGTGATGACGTTAAATACTTTCAGGAAATTACAAATAAGGAAGAAGCAGCCAAATAATTTGAAAAACAACAATTGAGAATGGAGGTGCAATTTATAGCAGAGGTGCCAAGGGAATAAGGCTGGTAAAAACATTTCTACCTGTTGTCCCCAAACGGGTTCCTTTACCCGGTGTGCTGGTGGCTGATCCCCACACAGAGTCGAGATTTTTTTTATTTATTTACAGCTCTGCACAGAAAGGGATGCTGGGGGTCAAATCCACAAAGCCAGCACAACTATCAAAACTTTTCACTATTTATACATTTTAGTAAGCAAAGGCATTCATGTTCATTGGCTACAAGTTACATACTTCTCTTATAATTAGTATTCTATCTTCTATTAATTAAAGTATTCCCTCACTTCTTATGCTAATTAGTCCATATGCTCTTGTTTTGAATTGGTGGGTTTCATGAGTCAGTGGTAACAATGTGCCCCTAACGGAATTATCTTTTACCTAGTTGGGACTGATTTCAGCACAGTTGCTGAGTTGGCTTTGTTAGGCTCTTCCTTATCCTGGGAGTTCTGCCATATGTCCTTGTGGCTTGTAAATTCTGCATTCTTTGTGTCCACTATCAGTAGTACATCCTTCTCTCCAAACTTTTTTAATGTCCCACTGGAGCTGAGATCACTGAAGCATGTCAAGGCCTAAACCTTAGCAAAGCAATTCTACCAACAAGTAATTTATCTTTCTAACAGCTGGACATCACACCTGCTGCCATAGGCATGTGAATGGTAGCCCTTTGCAAAAGTCCTGAATCCTGCTCCTCTTTTATGTCATATTTGTTAATACATTAGCTGATAAGCATTAAATAATGCCAAGTATTGAAAAAAATTATTCACTCAATTAAGTAAGAGATTGACAAAGCACCCTCTATACCTGCCCTAAAATGAGACCTGCAATGGGTTACAATTCTGCCTGTCGTTTTATCTCTTGCTCTGGGAAAACAGACTGGTGTTAAATATGCCATGGTGTGGGAAAAAGACGTAAGTATCCTGTAAGACATATTCTATGCTCCCTGTGTGACAAATTCTACAGTTGAGGGGTCTAAACTTGCTTGATTAAATTTACTAAGTTACTTTACTAAGTTTATTAAGCACACTGATCAGCAAATTAAATTAACAGTTGGCATTTTAAAACCAGAGAGTCTCTAGTTAAATAGTGGAAATCTTTGCCAGGAGATATTGCAGATTTCAATTACTCAGAATTTCAATTTCACTTACTCAAAAAGTGATTGGACAAGTTTGTGAAAGTTAAAAACAAGCAAGGGCTATTAACAACTAATGCAACACTTTTTGCTGAAGAAGGTCCTGAACTGGAGAACAGAGAAATACACTGAGAAGGTTTGATGCCTGCCGACACAGTTCCTCCATCTCTTCCCCAGGCATCAGTGGCTGCTATTGTATCTTTACTTGGGAAGAGGACAAACACAGCGGCCTCCCCCACCTTGCAATGATATAGAAGCATTTCTTGCTTTGGGGGAAATGGCAGGAGTCAGTTCACCTGAGGGCTAAGGATCAGACTCATTTCAGGAAAGTCCCTTTCTTCATCAGGGTATCATCACCCTTGCCACATAAAAGGAGAGGGATTGGGTTAGTAGGACTTGGGGTCAGCCCTGGCATGACTATATTTATTTTGTGAAGGTTGTTTTTCCCTCTTACCCAGCCATATCAGCAGATAGGCCCTGTGTAAGTGTAACTGGTGGAAAGTTATACCTGGCAAGCAGTAGATCTGTGTTTCTCGGAGCAAACAAGCAGCAGCTCTACTGGAGACACTATTGCCATGATGCCTGCCAGGCGAATGCCCTCAGAAATCTAATCTAGCTTGGAATGAAAGGTGGGAAGTGCTAAGCTTGGTGCTCCTTCTGCCATAGAATAAATGAGAATAAATAACAAATAGAAAGCACAACACAAATTCCAGACATCTTCCTGGAAAACATCTATGTCTCATGATAATACATTTTCTTTTATGTTTTCTTAGGCCATCACAAAGATCATCACATTATGATCATTCTCATAAAATCATTCCTGTTTTTTACTAGGAAGTCAGTTAATAACAGAATAATTACATTTCCAAGGAGAGCAATGGCTCATTCCATTCAGAGCTACAGCCTGCAAACTTTCCTAATCTAAAAAATCCAATAGCTTCTCACTGACTTTGCTAGTCATCATGATACATTGGCTACCATCAGCAATCCCATGCAAGATGTGCCCTGCCTCCATTGGAAGGACAACAGTGGCGTTCAGAACATCATATTGGGATTTCTTGACTGTTAGAATTTCTCTCAATACTGTAAGCAAAAACATAACATAGATGAAAGAACAAGTAGCAGCATCCTTGCTATATGCCATAAACACTGGAAATTGAACTGTAGATGGGCTCTTGGGAGGTATCAAGTCTAATCTTTCACCATTCCATTTAGTGAAATGCTGAAACAGTAGAAGCTGGTAGCATCTTTTACAAGCAATTAGATCTGTCAGAAAACCCAGTGAATAGTCTCTGCCCCCCTTGTTAGTGAGTCTTTTATGTTTCCAACTAGCCACTCAGCAGTGAAACTCAATGCCTAGAAGTGTATTAGGATCATCTAGCTTGAAACTGATAACCCAAGCTGAAGGTGCAGGTTTAACCTCTTCTTTGTGGTAGTTTTTGTTTATTGTTTGTGTTTTTTTTCTATTAGTTTCTCTCAGCAGCATTGTTTCTAAGCAACACAAGAAAGCAGCAGTCCTGCATGAAGCCATAGCCTCATTTCCCTGGCACACAAAGGAGGACAGAGGCAAGAAAGGAACAGCAACACCAAGAGGGAAATCTTCCTCATAAATACCTGAAGTCAGAGAGGCTCCAAACCCAGATCCTGAGGCCTATTGCAAAGTTGATACAGGTAGTGCATGATTTCTTATGTACATGTATGAGAGGTAGAATAGGGGAACAATATTCAGTAACAGAGAGCTTTGTGTATTATGGAGCAAAGGAGTGGAGCGCGCGCTTTGATGTTACAATAATTGGTGGCCCAGGTGCTGGCTTCTCTCTTTGCTATTACTTCATCCTGCAACCTGTCCTCTTCCCAGTCTGTTCCCTCTTTCTGTCACATAGATCTGGTTAATAGACACACAGTGGAGAGAGCAAGCCTTGTGCTGAGAAACCTGTAAGCAGTAGCAGGTCAACAGCTTGCATTATATGAGAGATATACATCATTATGTTGGGGATGCAAGCAACCTGCAAGCTGATGCTCAAGATTGATGCTTATCCTAAATGGGCTCATTCTGCCCATTTCCCATTACTGAATTCCTTACCATCACCCTCAGTATTGTTCATGTTTTCTTCTTTCTTGACTAAATTTTTATTATTTTCTATTTTAATCCTACCTTGGAAATTATTTTGGCTAGATTTTTGTAGGGGGTCTCCAAGTGTCACATTCTCTTTATCTGTTTTTGAGATTTGTTCACTAGCAGAGACACTTGGTTCTCTCCTAGATCCCACTGAGCTTATGTTACAGTAAGAACTATAATATGGAAAGAAAACGCCTGAAGAAAAAGATAGAAAAACTCCTGTAAGTAGTAACTGCCCACAACTGCTTTCACTGCACTTGAGATTGGCTTGTTTTCATTGTGAAGGGTGATATGACTCGGTGGATGACAACCCTCAAACCCTAGTCTTCTCTTGCTGATAAGTATGAACAGACTTCTTTTGACAATTTCTTGCATGCAGTCTGCAGTGTGAGCCCTGACTGCACGTGTGACAGTGGAGTCATCACAGCCCAGAACTTGCTCAGTGGAGCAAGCAGAGAGGTGCAGATTCCCCCTTGCAATGCGTCTGGGGCAGCTGCTGTCTGTAAGGGGTCTCCTAGTTCATGCCGCAGTGTCTCATGCTCTGCAATGCAGGACTGCCCAGCAGACAACTCCTAGGGGATGTAAGCAGTGTCCCCTCTATTCCACACAAGTCCTGTGCCCATCTTCTCTAGGAATATTTGCATGGATCTGTAGTACTTAATCTGAGGAAAGATTAAAGAGTCAGGCCTCTCCTGGATGAGAAGAACAAGCACCAGTGAAGCATCTCTATCATTCTCTGTACAGTGAAATTCTTCTGTGAGTCCCCAGACTTTAAATAATAGTTTCATCTTTCTTTTTCCTATATTTTGGAGCCTTTGGAGAAGACAGCAGTGTGGTTTGAAGGAAGCTAAGATTAGCAGAGATGCAAAAAACTAACAGCTTTCTTACTTGGGTACTATCTGGGAGAAATCCTGCAGCAGATTCCTAGCCCTGAATCGTAGTGAATTTAGCTTTGGTCTTGCACCATCTTTAAAGTCATCTATTACATTTCCTATGCACTGGTTTGCTTAGAACCAGCTGTAATTTAGAGTTATTTCCTTGTTTAAGGGGAGATTATGTTGGCATCAGACTACGAGAAAAAGAATTTGATCCAAGAGGACAAAGGCCACCCACCTTTCTAGATGACATGGTAATCACCAAAATTCCTACTTCCTATCCTCTTTAATTGCAGGGCTCCTGAGCATTCTGAAGGATAGCTGTTTGGTACAGCTAAATAACCTATATCCCTGCAATGATAAATCGCAGTCCATTACTGAAATGAGTACCTAAATTGGCTGTGAATAGCATCCAGGTTTAATGTATCCAAGATAATTCAAGGTTCTGTTGATTTTTTTAGTAAGAAAAAGGTCATTCACAGAAGGCATTTGACAAGTCAACTAATCAAAGATTATTCTTCACAAGCCAAGGCTGTTGGGGCATAACAAAATAGAAAGTCTTCCTGGATGTATTTTAAACCTCTCAAACCTTATCAAGTGTCTTACAAAAGTGAGGTACTCAGTTAGATGAGGCAATATTGGGCACAGCTCAGGTTTCCCTGCATTACCCTGGTCTTTCTGTCTTCCCTCAGTCAAACAATTACAAAACAGATAAGATTCTTCTGTCTTTCCAGGTCCATTACAACTTAGCCCTCAGTGTTGCTTTGCTGTGGCTTAGTGACTTGGATGCTCCGATTGCACTGACAGGAGAGAAAATGTGAGTATTGCAAAGCTAAGGTCCTGCTGTTGGGCTACACCAGTGTGAAAATGAGGTAAAAGCAGCATTGAATCAACCCCAGGACTACTTTTTGCATTTATAACACCAGGATAATAATCTTCTTATTCAAAACACCATACAGGAACTCTGCAGCTCACAACCAATACACATATCCCAACCGAACTGAGAGAGAGGCTATGATATTATCTTCATACGCTGGGATATTAATGGTAAGAGGACAAGAAAGATGGCAGTATCTTTTATTCTATGGCATGTAGAACAGAATAGAATAGAATACTCCCTGTATCCCAGATGTCTTTGTTCAGCACAGTATACAGACAGTGCAAATGTTACAAATCCATCTCATTTTTATCAAGCAGCCATTACGTTTTGCTCAGTCTTAGAAAACAAAGTAGGCAGTTTCAGTAGGTGTGTATATGTTACTTAACTTGTTTCACCCAAGTGCAAAATGGCAAGCAAGTTTCAGGACCAGATCTCAATAGATTTGCACCAGCAGTATGAAACAATAACAGGAGTTCATGTGAAAGCTGTTTCAGAGATCAAAGGAAGGGGATATGAGCTGGATTTCATTCATTCACTTGAAAGAATACTACTGCTGAGAGCTGAATCTCTCTTTTATCTGTTTTTTTACCTTTTACTGTTCACAGAACAGCATTCCTGTAGAAGAGATCTTTGAGATTTACAGCACGAGGCCCTCAGCAACACACTGGCAGAGGTCTGCAAATGTGAGTGATTTGGGGATTTTTCAGCATCTGTAAAGGAAGTGATCCTATAATATTTGTGCCTTTCAAAAAAAAGCGCTACATTTTAAACTGAAGTCATTTGCCCCTTTTGCCCCATTAGTATCAGCAAATAAGCTCCAGCCCTCTAGGACAGAGCAAAAAGCTGAACTATTCACCACTTCCTCCTCCTCTATCTTACAATATGCCAGGGAGAGGCAAGAAAAGGGCAGCCCAGTTACTCACATCCACACTAAGGTGTAAGACAGCTCCTGCACCTTTGTCCTAATGCTTTACAGAGGAGCATTCCCACCAGTGTGCTCTAATTACCACTCATGTGGAGTAGGGAAAGAGGCTATGAAGGTCTGAGGAGATACAGCCTGGCATGTGTTCAGAGCAACTTTCTCTAGCTATATATCTTTAGTCATATAATTGCCCTTTAAAAAACAGGAAATGTATTATAATCTTTAATTCATGACTCAAGTCACAGGAAAGTATTCCATATGACCAAGCTCCATAATGAAAAAGCATTTGTATTGGAATATATAGATTCTATTTTCAGTAACACAGACTTCATTGATGTTTCCCAAGCAACCATTAAAAGTTGATGTGGAATTGTAGTCAGACTATAACAAATGATTCATATGTAATTCACAGTGTTTCTAGTACCCTTTATTTTTTTCCCTGTCATGCTTAGCTGTAATATAATGACAGACTGCCACCCGATGTCCAGAAAGGGCAGAACTACACCAGCTCACAGTTATGTGCATCAGAACAGCCTTGGCTGTAACCTCTCTTAGTTGAATTTTTCCATGTCAAGCACTAGAGATGTCACTAGATGCCATGTAAGGGCATTTCAAAATACGTTATTTAGAAGGAGGGATCTTCCTCTCTGCTCCCGGGACAAGTGGGTGGATCAGCTGTCCCTCCTTTTGCTGTGAATATTTCACTGTATATTTTTACTGTCTTGCTTCTTACGGACAGGAATACTTTTCTTTAGTAACTTCCAACTCAGGATATTTTTAGAAATCTCTATTTTGAGTGCTCACCATACACTGCAGAGGAGTGATGTTTTCTTGAAAGGTTTCCAGCTACTCATGCTGTTTCCCATGGTGGAGTGTGTGAGTTTTTGGGGGGTTTTGGTGTTTTTTTTTTTCTTTGGGAGGAGGAGAGGTTATTAGTAGTATTTTTAGCTTTGATTTAGATTCTGATGTTGTGTAATCGGAGACAAAGAAAGAACAGAAATAGTATTTCTCTTCATCTCATGTTACTTTGCACTTGCCTAGATCCTGTCCCTTGTGGACTCAGAGACACTTCCTTAATGGTCACAAGGTAGCAAAGTTACAAAATTTTCTAAAGAGGAAGATAAGCCATTGTTATCAGGATGTCCACTTTCTGTTTCGGCCAACAACATTGCTTCATTTTATTTATGGCCTTAAGATCATTCCCACCCTACGAGAAAGGAATGGAAAAGCTTTGCTGAGCTGGGAAACTAAGGGTACTTTATTTTGCAAAGCCCTGATTCATTTAAGAGATTAAATCCACTGTTTTAAATTAACAGTAACTCTTGAAGCTCAGCTTATGCTTCCTTAACAGTCCTAGACTCAAAGAGATGGAATGAAGCCCATCTGAAAATTCAGTTTCTGTGTATTTTTCCCACTGAAGTAAAATGGCGGAGATTCCTGTTATCCCTCATCACTTTTGAAGCTTTGGCTTGAATCTCCTTGAAAATCAAGCACTAGCTTTACCAAGATATATAGGTACTTAAGGAGCCTAAGTCACATTCTAGTGACATTTAGGATGGAAATTATAAATGGTGCTCATTTATCCATCAGGACTGCTGAAGCAGTTATCTTAGTTTCTGCTGACCAGAAGAGTATGCCCATTGTCTTGGCACATAGTTTCTGCAGATATACTAATCTATGAATTGTTGTCCTTTCAGGACCGCTGGATTCAACCTTTCAGGTTCTCCCTGCACCCATTTGCCATGCTGACTGCCCCTGAAGCTGCAGAGTATGCCTGGAAGCAAAGTGAGCACATTTCACCCCATCTCCTACAGGGCCAGGGCAGGGGAACACAGAGCAGCACCAGGCCCAGCAGAGCCACCGAGTTACAGCCTGCTGAGCTCCAACAGCTGCACATGGAAGGGATGGTTAAAACCTTGGTCTGTGTGTCTTTTCTTACCTAGAAATGGCATCTTGCTCAGGCTCTTGAAGTTCATGACAATTGCAAAAGGTGCATTTTGCTCAAGTTGAGGTAAAAAATAAGATTACACGTTTCTAGTAGAATCAGCCTTCATGTCTGTCCATCACTTGTTTGTTCTTAAGCTTGGACTAATACTAGAACTTTTGCAAAGGTCAATTAGGCTACTGGCCAGTGAGAGCCACCTACAACTTGCCTGTTTCTTCTCCAAGTGCAGCAAAAATGAGGATAACTTCAGGAGCATTAGAGAATTTAAAGCTAGTACCCCTTACCTCCAACCATGGGCCAACTGCAAGTGAGCCCATGCAATAGGTCTGTAAACCAGCCTGAGGGCACACTGTAAGCCCGAGATGATATGAGGCTCTTTCTCTCTCCCAAGGCGTCAAGTACCAGACAGGAACAGCACGTGGAAAGCAACTTCCTTGTTCAGCAAGGAGAGATAAAAAGGACCACAAGCAACTGGACCCACTGACCAGAGGAAAGCAACACGTTGACAAAGTAGGTCTGAAGAGTTCACACAAGCCATTAAAACAGTGTTTGCAACACTATCACTGGATGTCACAGAGTGGCACTTCAGGCCACTTGGAGCCCACTTAGCCTTTGCAGTCTGCCCTTCTCAGTTCTCCTTAGCATAGCAGCACTAGTTTATAAGTGTCAATTCTAAACTGGACTTCAAGCTATTAACAGGAGATGTCAGTCGTGAGCTGGAAAGTCAGTTGCAGTAATATTCAACATACACATGGAAAGCACTCTCCTGGCTAATATCCCTGAAAAACATATTCGCTACTATCACTTTTAGGTTTAAAAAAAACAAACCTATTGTTACAAAAATTAACAAAAACAACTCCATAAAGAATCCAGTAATGTCAGATTAGCCTAGCATGCTCATGAATTAGGTTCTGCCTTTCTCTTTGACCTTGATTTGCTAAAGCCTATTGTTTGCCGCAGCTCCACTGAGCAGCAGAGATAAGAAAACATTCCAGCAGCAGGGCTGGATTTGATGAACCAGAGTAAGGGTGCTCCCCCACAGCCCTGGGTTCAACATGCATCACATGTCACACAGCAGGAGGGAAGTTGATCTGCCATGCAGTCCCTGCCTCTCCCGATGGATTCAGCCCTGCCTGCTGTGCTTGCGCTTATTAACATTTGCATCCTGCAGGGAGCTACAGAAGCAAAACAAGGAATCTCTCCAAGGAATCCTGGATCAGATTCAAAAGTGAGGAATGCAAAGGAAGCAAAGACATAACAAAAAACTAGACTTCACATACCTCACTTAGTTGTAGGTGAGCTAACTGATGTCTTCTACCTTAGCTTTGGGAATTTGCGTTTTGTTTGCAACTTTTGTTTTGGTTGATTTTGGGGTGGATTTTTGTTTGTTTTTAAATCTTAGCAGTCATTCCTTCCTTCCTTCCCAACCATCATATCTTACATCCAAGACATTCATTTCTCTTCCCTTAGCCAGTTCTCTCCTGCTGCCCTGCCAGTGTGTTGGGAGCTTACATTTTCCCAGTGCATCCCTACTGATTCTCAATGTACCATGTTACTTTTACAGAAGCAAAGAGAGGATGCAGTATTTCAGAGGCAGGGAATACACACTTCCCCTTTTCCACAGTGCTTTGCAACTCCCACATATGATCCATTGTTGGGCAGGAATGAGCTTCCCTACACGTTACATGTGAGTTGTGTCTCTCAGGATGATCACACTTTCTTCAGCTCTCCCCTCTAACCATCCTGCTTTCTTATTTCAGCAAAGGGCTCAGCTAAATAAAAAGCCTCTCCCTGCAGTGCCAGTGTAGCACTGAAGTCTGTCTTCCAATCTCCATTTGTAGGTCTCTGATAGTTTGCCTCTGTTATGTCCATGCTGTGTTGCCAAAGAACACTCCCCATTTCCTAGATGGGCTGTCAACTTTAATCCTTGTACTGACTCTACCTTGGAATATGAGTTGGATGCGGTTCTCCTTCCACGTTCCCCTCTTCCTCTGTCAGGAAGCTTAAGCACACAATATGGGGTGTTTGCATTAGACTCTTTCTACCTAATTCCGTAGAAATTTCAGGGCTCAATGGGGTTGAAGTATTCACTGCTGAGAGGTGTGTTTAACACTAACTGCAGGGTAGAGAGACTTCATTAGGGCTCTTTACATATAAAAATGGTAAACATGAAGATTTCCGGCTACTTGTAGCCAGGGGATAGACAGTTATCCAAAGTATGGTCACATATTGTACAGCTGCATTAACCCATCTCTCTTGGAGATGGTCCTGTACTCTAACACAAAACATCTACTAAAGGAAAAAAAATAAACATTTGTGAAGCAAAAACATTTTTCTCCTATTCTCCTTTCTGCTAGTTCTCAGTCACTGAGCCTATTTGTGGAGATGCCAAAAGAGAGCACTACACAGGAAAGCCTGGGAATGGTTAAACTTAATCAGGGAATAAAGGGTCTTTTAGAAGTCCTCATGGACTCAAAGCTTACTTTTATCTTACCAGGTTCACAGTGTTTGGTTTTTTTAATATATCACAAATTTCCTATTAAAATCAGTCTAAAATAAAATGTAGTTCCTCTGTAAACACCTATCCTTGCAATTCTGGTTTGTCCCTGGGGAAAGCCCTGACTACAGCTGGATACATTTAGAAATTACAGATTAAGGAGTGAGTCTTTGTGCTGATATAGATGTGGGTTCTCAGCCATACCATGCACCCTCTCACTTTCCTTTCAAGCTGCGTGAGCCCAAATTCTAGGCCTTAAGGAGTCAGGTGAGAGGGTTGGGGGGGACCTGAGGTAAACAGCATCACCTTCTATTATACAGGAACTCTAAGAATCTCTGCAGCATCAGCTGTTTTGGCCTGGTTAGTTCACTCTGCAGGAAGGGAGACTGCTGGAACACACTATCCAATCCTATTTAGTAGTTCCTACCTCTCCTCTATTGTCTATGTTCACCGCTGGGATAGGTCTACCCTGTCATATTCAGCACTTGCTTTTTCCTGAAGTTCAGAGCATCCATCAACTTCTGAGCAGAGGCTTCTGTTCTTGCAAACAAACTTGCTAACAAATTCAGTAGAACAGTAGGTCAGTAATAGGACCCTGAGCAAACTTCCTCCCAATTCAAACAGCACCAGTCTGACCCCTGGAAAGCCAACACAGAGAGAAATTGTCCTTTGAAATGAGGTCACTACAAGAGGGGAGGAGGGGATATTGCTGCTGAGCACATGAGAGAACAATGGTAATGGGGTGGTTCAGATTAAACAGCTAGACAGAGAGATTAACATCTCATGACTGTTTTTTGTTCACTGACCTGTAATAAAATAAACAGTAAGACTTTAACAAATAGGTGATTAGCCTTATTATTCCAGTGCTGTCTTTGCTATAGACTACTGCCATGGCCTTCATTTTTCTTTGAGTAATACTTCCTGGTTTTATAGGTGAGACTGGTGGAGTTAAGAGGAATAAGCAACAGAAATCTTACTATGCTAATAAGCAGAAAAACACTTTCATTTTCAGAGTGCAAGTCCATGCCTCTTTGCTACTCCCTCTTCTGTTGGCTGGCTGCTGATTGTCTGCATACAGAACTCCAGCTCAGAAGATCAGATGGTTTGCTGCTCACATGTTCAGACAGCCAGAATTAGAGAGCTGAAAGGTGCTTGTAGGTGTGGGCACTGTGGGATTGACAAATGATAGCCTTCTGCCACCTTGACTGAAAATTCCTCTTTTCCTGAGCTATATTGTCTCCTGAACAAACAAGGCCTTGCTGCAACCAGACCAATTAGTCAGGACAACTTTGAATTCTTTTCTCAGCTATGCAGAAAGCAATGGACATAGTTCAGAGCTCAGATGCAATGCAGAGTCATGAATTTGTTCTACAGGACCAGAAGAGACTTCTGATCATATGTGCACAGTTAGTACCAGTTGTCGCATGCGTACATTTAGTGCCTATCATTGCACTGCAATACTATCCGCAGAGAGAAAGGTAAGAGGCCGTTCTTGAACTGCTCTTTTGAAATACCTGAAATCACAGTACTGAGGCAAGTGGAGAGCTGAACAGGGCAGGGCATTATCCACTTTTCCTATGGCAATTTAAGAGCTGCCCAGAGGCCGACTTCCATAACAGAACTCATGATGGCAGCTTGGTATTGCAATCCAGAACCCAGTTTATGACACTGAAATCAGATGGTTTCACTCTAACACTCTTGACTGTGAACAGCACAGCAGCAGAGGCACAGACATACTGTCTGCTGGACCAGAGATGGTAACTTCTTAAACTGCTCAACACAAATTAGTGAGTCAGAGTCTATGACCATAGCCAGAGTTAGTAGAGCACTGCCAATGCAAGCAAGCCCAAATTTCCCCCTCATTTCTGCTACAGTAATCCTTACTTCAGACACATCACTACTTTTCTCTAGCTAGTCCTGAAAATTCTCACTCATTATGATGAAGAGCTTTTTCCTAGCCAAATATCATGTGGAAACATCCATTGTGGAACGGTAAAATATCTCTTTTTTCCAAAAGATTGGTTTAGCTGTAGGACAAAAATATAACCAATCTCTTCTTAAAAGCATTAGCTTGTCAGGTTGGAAAGTCAAGTGCACAGGACTGTTTCTCTTCAAGAGGCAGCCAGGAGCAACAGCAAATACCTGAGTGAAATCTGTGAGAAAATCAGATATACTCCATCCCTGTAAAACACACTGTAAAAGATGCTGGCCTCACAAGGGGAGCCATCGTTGAAAGATCTAAGAACGGTTAGAGGTGCTTAAACCAGAAACCAGCTCAGGCTGCCTCCAAAAAAGAGTTTGTTTGCAGCAAAGCAGAGTCAGAGGGAACACCAACTGCCAAATTCTGCACTGTCACCAGGTCAACTGCTGTTATGGAAGTGATCTGCCAGGTACTTGCACACGGGTATTTCCACTGCCAGTGCTAAACACATAGTTCATTTAAGTGAAAAAAGTGTATGGTGTGGTTCCCAAAGGTATCTAGGGCTAGACTTCATGGCCTTTCATGGGGACTTGCCAGCAGACAAATATCAAGCCCTGAACAGTGTATTTACTGTAGTATCAGCAACATGTAAAGTCAATTACAACAGACAATCAAATATCATGACAAGGAAATCCAGCAGAATGAGGGCCCATGGTCTGAGGTAACACAGAAAGTCTGTGAGAATAGGGCTGAATATACTAAGCAGGACAGGGCATCTAACCTGTTTGGAAATGGTGAGTGCACATTAGCTCCTGTCATTTAATATGGATACAGTTAAAAACGATATCAGTGAAGTGGTTTGTGATGGAAGGCTGTGAAGTTAGAGGTTTGATATCCCCCCCCCCTCCATTTCCCCAGAATACACCCTCCTCTGTCTCATTTCTTGCTCAGCACTGAAAGCTCGTTTCTTTGGCCTGAAATCTTGTAAACAGAGCTGCGCTCCACTAAGTCTCCCAAACTTTACCCTGCCTTCCCTCCTTACAGCCACAAACACTCATTTGTTCCACTGGAGGTGGAGACTATGTAGTTGAAAATAGAGCTCTTTAAATAAATTAGATCTACAAAGGTGTTTAGCTGCATGCCAAGTTCCTGATGAATCATGTTGACAAGATCTTCATATGCTTGAATGAGTTCCCCCAAATACATAAGATTATAAATCTGGTTTTGCAGTGCAGTAGTTTTGATCTGAAGCCTCACCTACTGGTGATATAAGACATTTGTATAACCAGCTTTGCATATTCCATGAAGGAGTTTGTTTTTTAAGAGTCTAAGATTTAGGTGCAAGAAAACGATAATCAGAAAAGAACAAGTCAAGATTTGTTCCAGCTCTCACCAAACAAGAAGAAAACAGATGAAAAGTTCCAAAACAGAGAAATACAGTTTTCTGTAACCTACTAGCTGTGCTTTAGCATTAAAGCACTGTGCTTCAACATTAAACAACAATCCTTCTGGGTTCCAGATAGGGAGCAACTTGAGTTTAATGCCATTTCCTCCCTTTGAATTTTTAAACAGGCTTTCGAAGAGAAAAACTGAACCAACTGACCCAAACTGATTTACAGTGTAAGCCAGTAATTCAGATAAGTGACAAACATCTAGTAAGAACCATTTGATTCCAATCTTTATAATGTTCAGGGATGCAGCAGTTAATCACACACTAGAAAGAGGTTAAAAGTTTTAATTGCTATTTCCTCCTAACATGGCTGTGTTAAAATCTGTACACAGTAGAAGGGATTAGTAGGCAAAGGGTAACAACACCACGTGAGATGGAAACTTTTCCTATCTCCAGGATAAAACATGTGACAAGGTATTGAAACTGAAGCAAAATTCATTGCTCTCAAAAAAAGAAAGACTGGGACAAACTTAGGCAAGAGGTAATCAACAGGGGGTGGAGAAGGAGAGGAAGAGACCCACACCCGAAACTGCTCAGGTCTTAAGAGCTCAGTGGCTTTCAGGCAAAACAGGTTCTGTAAAGAACTATTCTTACACATTTACATATATTCTGGTACCTATCCCACATTGGGTCAGGTGCACCACATGCAACAGCTGATAGCTGAAAGTGTAGTCTACCTCACAGTTACACGATAATTCACTTGCACATAGGATCAGCAAAAAAATAAGTCTCCCATAGTAAATGCCATAACTACAAAAAACCCCAAAACATGAGATCTCTTCACAGCTTAGAATAGTCTCTTCTATGTTACTTTTTGCAGATGCAGCATTAGGACTATGGTGTATAAAAGCAACCACAGTGTCTATGTCTGCTCACAGCTCTCAACTTTCATCTCAGCGAACCATCAGAAATGGGAAAGATAAGTGGAAAGCCCAGTATGTCAGTGCCCTGCTCTGACACAGACACTGGGATAGACTGTAAGTCTTTGCAAATGTTTACATTGCAGATCATTTTCTTTATGAAGACAAGAGCTTCTGGGGACACTGCTATGAATGTAGCAGTGACCACCTTAACCTGCAGCCCTCTGTGAAAGAAAGCAATTTCATCCAGGGGAAAAAAGGCAGCTAGATTATTTACAAGAGCCCCAGTAACTCAGGACATCAGTACTTTTTGAAAAGGGAGGCAAGACTTCCAGAAGTGGTTCTGCAACCCCACTGGGTCTTGCCATGTAATCCTACATTACACCTATTTGCAGAGAATCACAGTTTAAGAAACTGGGTATAGTTTATCCTGTAAGAAAACAGTTACAGTCTCTTCAAGCAACTCAAGAGTCAGGAAAAGTTCAGTAACGCAATGCAAAGTTTCACTGGAGATGAAGGAAATAATCTGTTTAAGATCAATGCTATTTCCAGAGCCTTTTATAACTTGAATATGCAAAAAAAGGTTGTGTCTCTATTCCTAGGTAGAGAATATCTTCACATCACCTAGGGAAGGGCCAGCAGGACCAGCTGACATAAACTTTTGCTGTGGGCTGATGTATGCAACCTTGCTTATGTCCATACTATGTTATGATTCAGTGACACCAGAACATGTTAAATCAGCTCACTGATATTTGTCCCAGGCTATGTCCATCTCCCTGAGATCTCCTCCTTCAATGTCTTAGGTGGCTCTTGGGTGTTTTATGAAATGCATAACTTCAGGGCAGACGGTATTTACCGAAACCTAGGGAATACAGAGGTACCCTTGATTGCAGTGCAGTAAATGCCAAAAACTGTCTCTTTGCAGAGGCTGGCTGACTTGCACTGAGTTATTGCTCACATACTAAGTAAACAGTGAATGCATTCCAAAATCCTGGTTCAAACAAATCTTTCTTCAGTACTACAAACAAATTCAAGTTTTACAGTCCCAAGGGAAATACTATTTCTTTCACATTTTAAGGGGAGAGGGGGAATACTTTTAAAAAATATTCACAGTTAGCCAGCTGTTCCATGGTACATGATAAGTTAAATAACTGTTAAAGGTCTAACTGTATCTTGCTAACCCTGGGGGAGGTGTTGGAAAAGGTCTGATTCTTTCATCTAACTTTTCTCTAGTTTTACAAATTTTGATCTAGCAGTAGATTCCAGCTCTATACTTACCAGAGATAACAATATGGAATTGGACCTTTAACACTTATTTAAATTATCATGTACTCTGGAACAGAAAATAAATCCCATTAATAGTTATATCCAGTAAATCACTGACTGAGGAAGAAAAGGACAGAAGTGTGCAGAGGAACTCAGAACAAGGTGAACACTGTATTTGACATCAAGTTCTTCATGCAAACAAGCTGCTTCACCAATGCTACCATCAGTCTAGCAAAGCTTTCTAGTCTTATTCCAGCTGATTGCTCAGAAGTTAATTATTCTAGACCCTTAAATCACACCACCTTTACATAGAGCATGTTTTAGTGAACCTGTGACTTCATGAACTAGATATTTAGCTGGTGTCAATCACCCTGCTTCTACTAACTTCAGAGCTGCACTGCTCTGTTGCAATAGGAGACTGAGCCAAATCTCTCAATTGCCAGGCTATTCTGCAGGCAAGAGGAATTAAATAAGCATACCAGTGTGGATTAGAAACAGGACAACGTCTTGTGCTGGAAAACGTCTATTGCAGACTTAATTATCATTCAATTATGTATATGTCTACTATTCATCACCAAATCCTGTGCCAGCAGGCACCCTGTGCAGTTATGAATAAGAGCCATAATAAAATAAAACACAGGTAGGGGATCTCACATCTTAACATACCTCCTCTAGGCAAATATACTACTGTTCTTCAGCAAGGTTCCAGAGACTTTTGGAAAGAAAAAGCAGTACAGAGAGCACAGAACTACTAGGACTTTCTGCAACCTTTTCTAGTAGATGTTTATTTTAAATCATTTCATCTTGGCTTTAAATGGTAGGCTTTGATTTTGTTTTGCCTAGTAAACATTCTGATAATGGAGTCCTTGAATAGAACCAAGCAACTTTTACAGCAGTGAGGTAGACTGCTTAAAACTCACATCTCTGCTTGCTAATGTCAGAGACCTCATTTAGCCATTATTTCAAGCTCACATGACCCCTCAGTTATAGCCAGTTAGTGATCCTCTCCAGCCTTTCCCTGACAACATTGGAGAGGAAAATAGAACTATTCTTTGACCTTCTCATCCTTTCTTTTGTACGTGGGACACTATCTCTGCCCTCCGGCCTGCCCTTCATGCATGAAGTCGGCTGTCCAGCTGCTGCAGAGGTTTGGTGTACGTAAGAACACCAAGCTTTAGCCAGAGGGCAATGGAGCATGAACAACTCAGCTCTCAGGACAGAGGTGTCAAAAAGCACGTTTCCTCTTGCTCCCAAATTCCTAATATTATGCATTTATGGGAACTGCAGAGTGTAAGCAGTATGTGTGTTAGCATCCTTAGGTTAGTGTGCTAACCCAGGTTTGCAAAAGAACACAGCAATTCAGGTGCAGCATCTACTTGTTTGCTTACAACAGGGAACCAAAATATTTCATTTATCTTCAGCAGGAATAAAAGAGAGAAAGACCAGTTCCCCAGACAGCAATTAACACATGCCTACATATTGCAACAAAATACCAATTAGTGCAATTGAGAACTATGGCTATGCAACGATGTACAGATTACATGCTGGCATTCCTGTGGTCAAAGGCAAGAATGAACAAAAATAACTATTCAGAGATCAGGGCAATAGGTAGGATGTCTGGATTCTAGACTTTGCTGCATTCTAGGGTTTGGGGGCGGCTAAACCTCTCAAAATTTCTCCACCTAAGACAAGAATGATGGCAATTCCTAGTTTTCAAGGACTGCTGAGGGACTGCTCTTGCTTTTGTTTGCAAATGCTCAGAGAATCTCATGCAGACATTAAGAACAGCAGTGCCAAAGGAGAGGAACATGGGGAATTCACAGATAGTATCCAAGTTTTCACTAACAAGTCGTCTAGCTTCCTGCAGCTTGCTTTATGGTTGGTAGCAGGCACTACAGTTGCTGGCATGCAGGCTATGTTTCTCTACACAAACAGGGCTATTTTCAGACTACTCCTATGCTTGAGTTTTTCTGGGGTGCAAAAGCAGTCAACCTCCACGTAAAAGCAGCTGTCATAACAGCATACTAGTTGAGAGCAGTTGGAACAGATGTAAATAACCAGACTTCTCAAACCGTGGATACCATTTGTCTGACAAGATATTTTAGCTCCAGAGTTTAAGATCAACCACAGCCCTTCCTGCATTGCACAGTTCATCTGTGGCATAGGGTCCTGGGAGGTGAAAGTCTACAGGATTCAAGAAGAAGCTGGATGGGTTCTTGGAAGACAAATCCACTGAGCGTTATTAACCAGAGAGAAGAAACCTCCTGATCAGAAAACCTGTTGAGCTAAAAGGGCTTGGGGACTTGAAGTTTGAAGGAAATATCATATATATTTGCTTCATATCTACCATTCCCTCAGTGCCAATTCATGGTTGCAGTTGCTGCCAAGTTTCTTGACTGCCTGTCTGCCCCATGGTGGCTGCCCTACATTCATAGCTACAATAAGGAATTCATGTATCACTGCCCCTACTCTGATCTTTCAAATTTTAAATGTCATTACCAGTCCAGTGCCCACTGTATTAAACCAGGGAGGATCACGTGGGATCCAAAAGACAAGCTGGCTCCACGTGCATGATCAAGACAGAACAAAGCAAGCATGATCACAGAAAGAACAAAAAAAATGTAACACTTCTGAGACCGTCAAAGATGTTGGAGAAATCCAAGAACAGGCCTGCATGATAAGTTGTTCCTGTAAATGAATTAAATTTGCTTAGCATTAACTATCAGGAAGAAGTTAATTTTGATCCAAAGAAAGCATACAGGTATTCAGAAGAAACTGCTAGACTCCAATTCATGCTCTTCCCTCAGTCTGTTTTCAGTGTTAAAGGCTACAATTTCCTGGCTGAGAAAGCCCCTCCAGGAGAGAGGCTGACAGGAGTGATAACCACTTACAACACCCATCAGAAGCACAACTAGAGCTGCGTAAAAACAGGATAGCTAAAGATTTGTCCCTGAGGATTTATAACTTCATGAAATACAAGACTCATAGTGCATTATTTGTATTAACGTTTATTTTAATAGTATGTTTATTATTTCATATATATATATATATATAAAAGCACTTCACCAGTCTTCTAAAGCCACTCTGGCTATATAAGGATGTTTTTAGTACAGAGCTGAAAACCAAACCACATCTCTTATGCCCCAGTGAATGCTCTTACTTCTTTACAGGCAAAGCTGGTGACTAGACATCTGCAGAGGCAACCTGACACATCCCATTGTAGAGACACCACCATGTGTTTGAGCCAAAAACAAAGGCATATTTGCCTCATGATAGATGTTTTTTCTGAATACTTCAGTCCAGAATAGATCTGTGCTTTTCCTTTCTAGACTCATTCTCTGGAAGGATTTTACTCAGAGGAGAGATATTGCCAAGATGTGAAATATTTCATTAATCAAATGAAAGACTAAGGATTTGAGATTTGGCCCAGGAATAGCCTTGATGGTGGAATATGTTCCTCCAATGCTCATGAAAAATTAAGTTCATGAGTAGTGTAAGCTTTATGTACAATTCAGTTTCCCTGTCCAGTAGGATCCACATAGGCCACCACAGCAAGTTTCCAGATACATTCCATCTGCATAGGATAATGCAGCTATTTTTTCTGGCGTGCATATTTTTAACTGATGTGCAGTTCTGGGCTTCACTTAGCTCAGACTAGTTCTGTGTCCAAGTGCTGAAAGCTCATGCACCCTTGTGTCCTCACAAGCTGTAAAGTGAAAGAAGTCACAGATAAGGAGGATGGGAATAAGATGGACTGAAGGGAATTTGACTTGGGAGACTGATGGGAAGTATCTGAGAAGGAGCAAAGAAACTGAGAATTAATATAGGGGTAGAAAAAAAACCTAAAATTAGGACACATTTTTGCATGCTTTCTAGATTAAGAAGAGTGTTCAGAAAGTTCAATGCTACAAACGAAGATACTAAAGTTTTGTTGGGTTTCATTGTGGTTTGTTGGGGGTTTTTTGAGTTTTTTGTTTGTTTGTTTTGGTTTTTTGTTTTGTTTTTTGTAACTAAGGTGTTGGACATCACACAGCAGTGTCTATCCAATTGCACTTCAGCACCTGCAAAAACTGTATTGGCACTGATGCAAAAGCAGAAAGGTTTTTTCTGTAGCAGATCTTTGCTGTGCTAGATATAAGTCAGAGACAGTTTCGAAAAAGTTTATCATCTTAGTAAATGAAAAGCAAAACTCTGCCCACTTACCACTGTGCAAGAAAATTAGGATCAGAAACACCTCCCCTGTCTCAGCCAGAACCTTATCCTGTTACTACATCAACATCTAGGAAGACTGAGGGCACGTGACTGCTGTAGCAATCCAGATACGTCACTGAGTTTATGTCTTAAATGCATGTAGAGTTGAAGTGTGGAGAACTTGGCTGGACCCCTCTTCTGCTTCCTGCCCTATCAAGTGCAGTTCTACTCTCACTGGAGCAGAAAGGATTCACAGCACCACTGCTTTAAATTAGGACCCAGTTGGATTTATTCCTGCTAAACTGACTTTTCTACACATACTAGTGGCTATTCACTCTTACGTTGAATCAGTATCACATCCAGCAAGCTGCAGTCACCTAGAAGTGCCACTTGACCACCTGTTATCCAAATTTGGGTTTGCCTGTGCATGCCCAGAAGCACAGCAGCTACAGATCTCTGAGGAATGACTTCAGAGGCAGGATGATGAAGTTCACAGATCTCCAACGGGACTTTCACTCCAGGGACATCCAGTCTCGTAACATACTCAAACGAAGGTGTGTTTTATATGAACAGCCACACTTACAAAGACAGAAGTATCTCCTGATATCTGGCAAATACAGGCGATTCACCAAATGGGGTGCCGTGACTGTTGAAGTTGAATCCTTCCAACCAAGAGTGGATATTTTCTAACCAGCACTTTCCTAAGCATATGTTTAAAAATAGCACCTTTGTAAAAAAAAAAAAATATTTCAGACCTTAGAGAAAAAAATTAAGTATGTTCTTCATTTATGATAATGAAAATCCAGAATTCCACCTGTAACTGAGTCCATGGACTAACTCCATACTTGAATTGATTATAGGATGTACCTTTGATTTTGAACAGCCCCATAAAAGCAATGACCTTCACAGAAGTGTTTCTGCTGTGGGTAGACTGGCAAGTTCACAGCAACAGTATCATTGTGGAAATACTGCATACCAAGCCTCCAGCTATGACACTAGATGACTTAAGACAGAGCAAAGCATTTATAGTATTTACCAAGTTTATTAATAAGAATTATTTCTGACAAAGACTACTTGTAATGCTACAGGTATGAAAATAAATCTTTGAATTTCTAATTCACTTCATGATAAAAAAAACCCAAACCAAAACAAAAAAGCAGTCCTGGTGCCCAAGAGTTCCTGGTGCCATTTGGCATTAAGTCCAGATTTCTGCACAGGATTGAATCGCTCCTATTTCCAGCTCAAGGCCTACACTATGCTCTTTTGTTTAGCCAGGACCTCACACCATTTGTAGACATGAACTCATGTTGACCTTCCACAGCACAGAGAAGCAGCAGCTTTCTCTGGGCATCCAGGGTTAAGAACCAAAAGAGAGACCCATTATGTTAAAGATTCTACAGCCAGTTCAGTGTGCAAGTGGGCCCCCACGAGTTTCTCACATACTCCCTAGCACACTGTTTACATAACCCTGCAGAATCTTTAAAACTCCGTTTTACAAGACTAGCCGTCATTCAGATCTCTGTACCCTTTCTGTGCTCAGCACTCAAGCTAGCCGAGTCCCTGCAGTATTCACAAGGGCATACCTTGGGTTTCACATCCCACTCAGAAGCAGGCAGTGTGCTGCAGCCAACACCTAACTCCTGGGAAGCTGTGGTGCTAATATTTTACAAGAATTCCACCTCTAGCAGCAGTTGGAGCTTTCCTAAGACCATTTCCCCTTAGTTACTTCCCTTCATTTGCCTTCTTCCCCAAACCAAGAGAAATTAGGCCCCAAGTCGCTATAGCAGGCATTCTTGGGACAACCCTACCTTGTCAGCTGAGAAGAAATTAAGTTCAGGCAGATCACCAGAGAATACTAATCCCTACACATCCTTGTTTGCTGCCATGATGTTTTGTGGGTTTGGTTTTTTTCCCCGACACACAGATTGATTTCAGGAATCATGCTGCAGATTCAGATTGCTGAGCACTACAACATAATGAAATAATTCATTAAACAACTTCTTAACTTTTCATTGAAATTACCATACTTGCACTTCAAATCATTCTACTTCAGTTAAGAAGTTGTGCCAGTGAGACTGTAAAGGATGGATTACTTTGAGTGAAAAGTCTGTTTTTTCAGAAGGAAGTTCTCCTTCAGAAGGAAGACGAACTCTTTTATGATGCAATCTTGGGCAGTAAAAACTAGTGTCTTCAGGCATCTTCAAATGAAAGATAGCTGTAGTGTAAGTCTACGCATTCTAGCTCTTGCATAGCTAACCTAAATGCCAGCAGAGGAGGGGGCAGTTCCAAGACTGAACTCCTATCCATGAATTTTTGCTGGCTGTTAGAGCTTTTAAGAACCTAGGCTGATCAAAGCATATAAACACATACTACAGATTTAGTATGAAAGAGTCTTTAAGAGGTACCCTACACAAGAACACTCTCAGCACAGCTGCAAACTTAAGGCTTGTGCTAAGGGAGCCCACGCTACAAAAAAGGGAGCAGAAGAGATCAAGTCATTGCCTGAGCCTTCTACAACAGGGAGTCATTATACTGAAGGCCCCCTGTGGTAACAAGCTGAAAGGACAGAGAAGGACAAAAACACTCACCACAGTCCCAGGCTACCCTGGGGTTAATTCCTTCATGAATTTAAGTCTGGAGAATGGTTTAACCCTGCATATATGAAAGCAGGGCAGCTAGGGGCCAGAGGGACTTAATGCTATTAGGCAAACCATCACCTCCCAGCTTTAGCTGTGGCTAGTCTCCAACACTTTGAATGAAAGCAGCTACAATCCCTAGATATCAGCTTATATGTCAAGGGGCAAACAAATTCCTTTCCATTTTCAAATTTTACAAAAAATTAACAAGCCCTGAACTACATGGGGTGCAATATGAATATAGTGACAGAAGGAAAATTATAGACACTATAGTGATTCAGCTAACAAAATAATTGCATGCTTATCTGGCAATCATAGCCAGAGAAACTTAAGGCAGCTGACCCCGTGCTACCCTCAGCAAAATACCATCACAGAGGTCCTGGCATCTTGCAAGGGCCAGCTTGCCCCTTTTCAATAGCCACACCAAATCCAATCTCAAGGTAATTTGTCTTGAATGTCTAGAAACTAGCATCCACAAAGTCCTAATTCCTTACATCCAGCACAAGGTATTTTGATAGTGGAAGCTTTGTACACAGCCACAAGACCATTTGTTTACTTAGACTGTAAAGATTACTCCTTCCTTCTGTGAAAGGGTCTGGTTGTAAAGAAAGATGGAAAAATTGAGGGGTAGGTTCATTTCTAAGCTAATTTCCAAGTCCATTCCTATTTTGGATCTTCACTGTTGGTAGACAAAGCACTAGCTCTCAGACATAAAGAAAAACCTCAGCTGAAAGCTTTGCCTTATCTCAGGATCATTTATATTGATCTGGGGCATGGCCTCAGTAGAAGCATTAGGGCCAAACAGGTTTGAGAATATCTAAAAGTCAAATACAGATTTTTTTGGTCTTTTTCTTTTGCCTCTAAAGAAATTAAGTATAGCTTAACAAAAGCAGTACTAAAAGGTATATAGTTTTTCCTGCCACTTCAGAGGTTCCTGGATTCAAAGTTGAAATCCAATGCAGTCCATTCCTTTGTTAAACCTTTCCTTAACCCAAATTTCATGTGTTCTCCTAATCCACACCCTTCTTTCTACCCATTCTGTTACCTGAACTTGCTAGTAAGATGACTGAGTTACTACACAGCTACTGAAGAAAGAAATTAAAACTCTACTAATAATAAACAAAGAATGAGAAATAACCACTCTTGTAAACAGACCACAAGAGAGTAGCTAAGGAAAAATTAAATAAAAATGAACACTGACTACCTGATAGTTTAAGGTCCATTAAACAATTGATACATAATTATGGAAGAGAAGTTGATAGAAAGTCTAACAATTAACTTTCATAGCCTAACCAATCCACATACAGTCACATTCTTAAGTACCCATACCTAGCTGGCAATGCTTCTTTTTGCATCTTCCTCCATTCTTTGATTTTCACATCCTTAGCTGAGTCTTCTTGAAGGTAAGTATACAGAATTATATATATTATAAATATAAATATATATAATATATATAAATATATATATAATAAATATAAATTCATCTAGAATTATACTACACCTGCAGAGACAAAGCTGTAACCCACCTTTTTCCATTGACATCTCTCATTATTGATCATATTTCTATGTGAGAATAAACCTCATAGTGAATACTGAATGTCTGTACAGACAGGGAGAAAATAAACTTGACCTACACCCAGCAATGCAGACATCCAAGACCACCTTAACAACCTTACAGTGATCTACCCTGGCTTGAGAAAACCTCTAGAACGTCAGACTAGGAGACCACCCGCTCTGTATGACACCTATGGAACAGACTGTCCTGCTGCAAAACACAAATGCTTTACTTTCCATCTAGAGCACCTATAAAAGGCAATAACTGCCTACACGGGCAGCAGGGATTTCTTAGGCTCAGCGAATTAACTGCTTCACTACAGCTCTGGCGGAGGGGAAAATGGCTGCTTTATATTTCGGGAGCACCCTAATTACGGGGGCAGCAGCATTTCACAAGGGAGGAGTCTCCCATTTCTATCAATGGACGTTTCTGTGTTGCTTCATTGAAGCCTGCTGCAGGACTTACATGTGTAGGAGCAGCTGCTGTCACTTGCAAGAATCAGCAATGCAAAAAGCAGAGCAATATCTGAAGGGAGGACTGGTGTTGTATGTGGGTTTGCTTGGGCCTGACTTCTTCAGAGGGAGCAAGTTTTTAGAAAGTTTGAAATAGGCTGTTGTTTAGTCTAGAAAAGGCTGTAAAAAGATGTGATAAAAGTGTGTAACTCAAAAGACACGCTACAAAGGGCTGCTTTTTGCCGCATTACTGTGGAAGAGGCAAATAATAATGGTTTGCATTTGCTTGAAAGTTGATGCAGGCTGGCTCCTAGGGAGGAACTCCCAGAAGTAACTCAAGCCGAGATAAGACGGTCAGTGAGGAGGCAGGCTAACTTTTTCTCCTGGATGCTTTTCACCAGAGGAGTCTCGGGTGGTTTAAGCACAGCAGATCCTGCCCTGGGGACAGAGCTAGACTCTGAACTCTTACTTTTTTCTGGATGGAAAAAATTATGTTACAGCCTTAAGGCAGGAGAATATTGTGGCTAGCAGCAAGTACCAGAGCACATGTATCACACAACTAAAAATAATTTTACAGTCTCATTTTTGTCAGTGTCCCTCCAACTGTGCTAGGAACTATGTTTAGATATTGCAGTAAAAGATTCTTCTCCCACTCCCACACTGCTGATCCACGTGATATAACACTGAGCACAGATTAGCTCTTATTTCTTTCCAGGGAAACTTCACTGATTTTTTAAAAACAAGACAAATATGCAAAGGCCTGTTGCAGGACCATATCTCAGACTGTCTCAGAGACTGTACGAGACTCATCCAGGTGAGGAGACAACCCAGTGGCAGAAAGACCAGGGCTGTGGCCAGAGGTTGCAGAACTGTGATTCTCCCAGCAAACTAGGGAGATGGCCTAGATCTCGTTAAATCTTCTCCTCCCTGCTTTGGAGTCTGACACAACGGTAATTTCAAGCCACACTTTCTAAGGGCACAGAGGGACACGGAGGGAAGCCCACTCCCCTGCGTGTCACTCTAAAATGATGCTGTTATTGAACGAGC